AATGGTCTAAGTTGTAAAAAGATTAATTTGAACAAAAATCAACTTTTATTAAACCTTTTCAAAACCATTTTTGATAAGGATCACAGCTTGACACACATGGAATCTATCCTCTAGATGTACAACCCCGAATCTAGGAATGGAAAACTGCCCCTAGACTGAATAGCACTGCTTAGCACTATAATCAATTCTTCTCTCAGGGTAAGGATCACAACCAATCTTTCAGATAATGAGTGGACAAAGATGCCTTAATCAAACACATGGACACAGTTAATTTGGAGGTACTTCAGAATAAAGTTGCCAACGTATCCCGAAGATGGGAATCAAGCCTTATGTAGTTCACTTCAAGTTCACTCGGGTATTAACACTCTACTTTGCACTCTATTAAACGGATATGCAATGTTTATTTCCAAATTAGGCAATCTAGTCTATACTTGTTTGCTGCGCGCATTACATAGTAATTCCAGGCTAATAATTGGAATAAGAACACATATTGTTTTCAAAATCGGATATCATGGTTAGTAGAGGCCGGTCTTCGGACCGGGCGAAAGGGGGTGCTCATAGCTGACCTTCCCCGATCGTACCCAAGCTCCCGAGCCGAGACAACTCCGGTGATGACGGACATGTGGCCTTCGGCACCGAGTCAGGGTTTCCTAAATTTCCCCATTTTAAAATATTTAGGTGGCGACTCTGTATCTGGCAAAGCAGTCCATGTTTGGCACTTCTTTCCTAAAATCTGTTTTCTCAAAACGATTTGCCAGATTTGGACTCTTTGGTTCAAGATTAAGAACCGTGACACAAATCGAGTCCGAACTGTAGTAGCGGGGTCCCTCGCGGGCGCGTGCTACAGTATGATATACAGTCTTCCAACGCCACATACCGTGTATGCAATCCATTCATCCCCCCACGAGCAACACGCACAAACGAAACAGCCCCACCAAGCGCCGAGCATTATCTTCAACGATTCCGATCTTATCAGCATAACACTCCCCCATATTGATCCATTGGTTATTGAACTACACGTGAACCGATTTACCGTTGAACGCGTCCTCATTGACTAGGGGAGCACTTCAGAGGTCATGTATTACGAGACCTTCATCAAACTCGGCTTCAACGAATCAGACCTGTCTTTGGCTCCTCATCCATTGTTCGGCTTCAACGCGAATCCGGAGTATCTGTTGGGAAAAATCACGTTACCCGTTCGCGCGGGCTCCCAAACGGTGGAAGTGGAATTCCTGGTCGTCAAGCTCCCTTCGCCGTATAACCTCATTATGGAGCGGACTTGGTTGCATACTATTCGGGCTGTACCAAGCATCTATCATCAGCTGCTACGCTGCCCGACCGAACACGGCGTTGAGCAAATCCAGGGTTCCTGGCAATCTGCACAAGCATGCTATCTCCTTTCTGGAAAGACACTAACAGAGACGTAGGTCAACTCCATTGAAGCGTCAAATCAAGAGTCTCGATGAAGTCGGACGGCTTCGTGATAAGAAGCCACGGAAACTGTAGGCGATACCGGTAGTAGCTTCTCAAGACGTCTAATCAACGCATCCAGCTGCGCCGCTGCACACCGATAAAGTTGCCCTTAAAGGTATTTTTGGACGATAGAAGGCTGGTTGATGGAGAATTAGGCACGAGTTCTATCATAAAACCTGACTTGTGGGAATGATATTGGTTCTGAGCGGCTCACCATGTACACTTTCCACTTCTGTAATGCAAAGATGCCTGTTTACTAACTCTACAATCCAGTTCAAAAGCCTCCGGATTCGGAGCGCCCTTCGTGGATGTCACAATTGGCCAAATTAAGTCTCCGGATTCGGAGCCCCATCGGCGCATGACGTCCTTGGGCCGATAAAGCTTCCGGATTCGGAGCGC